GATGTATTCTGTAATGTGTGTGTTGTGATGTTCATGTTTTGTGTGTGTTTTGATTTTCTTGAAAATGTTTTTGAGTTGTTTGTTTAATTTGGGTGTTATGTTGTTTTTAGTGTATTGTGTCAGCCTGCCTAATTGCTGTCTAATGTCATTTATTTGTGTTTCTATTCTTCTCTGCCAGGCAGGCTTGTGATGGAAATGTGTGTTGTGTGTATCTGTCTGCGATTGTATTTTCAGCCCATGGTGTGTCACTACTGTGACTGCCCCAGCATAAACTAATGTTTGAATGTCTGAGAGTGTAGAAATTAAATGGATGTAGTTTGGTAGTAAGTGAGTGTTTACATAATCTAGTGTTTTTCCTACTACCTTTGACGTGTTGATTTTCGGTATTCGTGGTCTTTGTGTGGGATCTGTACCTGTATATTTAGTGAGTGTTTCCTTAAATATAAGTGAGAGTGTATTAAGTAATTCTATGTCTATGTTATCAGTGATCAATGAGGAAGTGCCTGTAGTATCATTAGCGGTAGTAGTTGTATGTGTGCTATTATCAATGCTTGTTGCTGGATTATCCTGACAGGTTACGTGATCTTCATTAATAATGTTAAATGTTTCTGTCTGTTGATGTATTTGTTTGTGGGATAAGGTTGTTGTGTATAATTGTTTTTTTTTATCAACAACCCTTTGTTCGGTGACACTGAGGTGAGGATATTGTTGTGTGAATCTATGNGGCTATTTCCGGCACGCAGTAGTGTCGATAATCGTTGGAAAAGTCGGAAAAATAATATAGTACTTTACAATTATAATAAATCTGTGTTCACCCATTTCTATGTGATTATTCTGATAACATCAATAGTGTGTGATAAGTCCTCCATAGAGCCAAAACTTAGTGCTCATAGATTCATAAAAAATAAATAAGTTGACTCCTTGAATTACATAATGATTCTTTGAATTAAGTATAATGAAGTCAATAATTTCAAGAAATATATTATTTAATAAATAAATATATATATATATATATATATATTTTATGTTTACTGTTGTTTTAACCTATATGATATATTGTCCAAATTCTGCATTTTTATGTTATTGTGATAATCTGGAATTTAAGGGAGATATTTTAATGAATTTGTTAAAATAATGTTTTAAAATTTATTTTAAGTTAAACTTGATAGAAAAATTATCAGTCTTTCAATAAGGAAGCACTTTCTGTAATTCACAGAGAACAACAGTTTAGTTCACCCTAAATTGATAGTTCAAGTGTGATATCTCACTCATCTATCTGCAAGACCACCTGACTTTCTCATCATGTCAGAAGCAGGGCATGATATTCCAATAATTCTATTGGATAAAGATTGGTATAAAAGGTGATAGGCCACCTTCCAATTTGCTCTCATTTTGACACTCTTACTTAGTGTTCAAAGCTTTAGCCAATGCTCCCATTTTGGCACTTTTGCCGAGCACCTAAGACTTTAGCCATCCCTCTTCCAGTTCTCAACCTCCAGTTGTTCCCAAAGACTATGCGACTCTCCACGACTATTATGGAAACATAGATAATATAATTATGTCATGTAAACTCTCTCAGTTTAGATTTAGAGGTTAGATTTCAGGTCCTCCGTTTGTATTTAACAGCAATATTGCTTGTTGTTCTTATTATGTTTAAGGTATGCTTTTATGTATAGATTTCAATTATAGTTTATCTTAATAAATATATAGATAAAATCCGAATTTGAGTAATTGATTTAACGCCTAACTCCATCATCGACCTATGTTACCAAGAAACTCACGTAAACTACTTAATCCACGTAACTAATGTTAATGTTTAAAGCAATACTCCTTATTCCAGTAATACAAATTCTACTTTACTTTGTGTCTTAGTTCACGAATTAGATTAACTGGTGTCAGGACTGACAAGAAGATTTTTACAAATCTTCTTCTTAACTATAACAGCCATCCCTGTGAAACAGAGTAGACCAGAACCCTTGTTCTCACATTACTAATGAGATGGATGAACCTGATAGAATGATATGTCCTGACATAAACAAACATTTATGTCAGGACATAAAAATGACTACCAATTTATTTATTTTTAACTTTCATAATAATGAAAATGGGTCACAATCATTTTACTTTTTATTAAACCTTTTGCGGACCCCCTGACATTGTCCACACACTCCCAAATTAATTTTAATTTGCCACAGACCCCACCAGTGGTTCCAAGGACCCCCAGGGGTCCGTAAGAACCATTTTAAAAAACATTGATTTAAACAAATGAGTTAACATATACATATCACAGTTCGGACAGAATTTTCATTTTGAATTACAAAGTAGCCATATTTTGAACCAAATTCCTTATCATGTAAATCTCTATAATTCTGGATGGGAGAAAGTACAGTTATGAACTAATGGGATTTTGAACTGTCTGAGTTCAAATTAACAAGGATTTCCTGTATTATAAGGTTTTAATACTGAGTGGTTCAAATCTACATTCTATGTCATTTCTTTTGTATTTACAGTTAGCTGAAAATGGCTACATAAGTGGCTGAAAGTGTTTCTAAATAAGTAATATTTTGTATGCCTAAAAATAGCAGTTTAATCCTGCAATTTAAAAGTATATTAAATGAAAGCCATTTCTTATCATAAATAAATTAAATATATCAGTTTATATATAAAATAAAATAATTACACATGCTTTATCTTTCTGATCATTCTTTATCTTACTTAGTAAATAAAATGCATTCAATTAATAATCAAACAACTGCTCAATTCTCTATAGGGACAATATTTATGCTAACTGGAAATTAATTATCAATAAAAATTGTTCCTAAGATAGATACATTTTCTGTATCTTAATAATTTTAACAAATATATAATTTAAACTAATTGAATTCAATACATCCACTAAATAAATTAAATTATTTAGTGGCTAGTATTTTGACTTACTTAAATTATTTAGTAAATTACATTTACTCAAATTTAGCTAACTATAGACTGGTAGAGAATCTAACAGGTTTTGATTAATAATTTTATATTAAACTCTATAATTTATGTTATATACCTGAAATAACACTAAGTGTTGCACTTGAAGAATTTGTTCCATGTGCATTTGTAACAACCACTGTATAAAGTCCACCATCTTCGATGTTAGCATTTTTAATTGTTAAACAATGCCTGATATCATCACTTGTCATTACAAAATGATCAGATGTTGTTATAGGCATGTTGTCCTTTAACCACATAACAGAAGTTGGACTAGAAGTCGCAACTTGACATTCAAATGTTGCAGTTTCACCCACTGAAAATATTTATACGTATTCATAAGATATATAAATATAAATAATTTATTTATAATGTAGATATTCTTTATAAATATAAATATTATAAAATTACATTCAAAATTGGTCTAATTAAGTTGATTAATGATTCAAAACTTTTAGAGATACATAACTCATGTTCTATTGATAACTTTAGTAATTAATAAATTTTTATAATTTTAATTAAATTTAGTTTATCTACAAAACATTAGCCCAGAACAGAATTTGAATTTCAACTCCTACACAGCATGTACATGTGTAATTGGCAATAATTGCATATCACTCTACAAATCATTGTTTATTCAGATGTATACGGTGAGTCAAAAAGTATCCCTATTCAATCTACAGAGAAAATCAATAGACAAACCATCATCAAATTTTGTTACCTGAAACAGCAGCACAACCAGAAATTTAGCAAGGAGAATATAATTAAAAAAATTTAGTAGTATCAAATGTTGTTTAAATAAACTGCAATGCAAAAAGACATGCATATGTTATATTTGTTATTGTATATGATTGGTTAATAGCAATTAAATCTATTACCTAAATAATAATTATACTACAGTATATGTCTATTGACTAGCTTCTTATCCCCTTATTTTATTAATTATTTCTCATATATTGTTATATTCTAGTTATTTTAGGGATTATCACACAAAGAGACTTGAGACCATTATTTTATTGTTAAACTTTCAAGTATAATATACATCATATTATATGTATATTATACTTGATAGTTACATGTACTTGTTGGAATAGTATTCAACATCCTTCAACACTCATACATGTCTTCAAACATGGTCTCTTTTACACACCTCCCCCTAAGTCCAGTACCTTCAAAAAGATACAACCTGTATACCTCATGTCACATGCAGCCTGCATTAATATTTTTTGTGGCTCACATTGCATCAAATATAAATAAATATATCAATTTCCCAGCTCGAAGAAGTATTCAGCAAAAATTCAAACATTACTTTCTACAACTTATGTATGTGAATAGTTTTTCCTGTAATGAATTTAGTAAAAATTAAAAATTAAAACAAGAAATTGGCTAACAGACTCATATCGAAACTAATTTAAGATTAGCTGTGACTAATATTTAACCAAATATTTCTGATATATTACATTTTACTTCAGTTTCAGAAGCTAAATTAAGTATATCTATGTTAATTTCATATGTTATTATAAACATATGAATAAATAATTGTAATTTACCAGTATTTTTTTCCTCTTTTCTCTTGTATGTGGCCTGTGTCAGTTCAAAAGTTTTAAAATGCAGCCCTTATGTAGAAAAAGGGCAACCTTTTTCTACGTAAGGGCCACATCTAGATCCCTGATCTAGATCACACCACTAACAGATATTTCAGATGGAAGACAATAATGACCATATGCAACATATGTGATACTAATTCTATAAATAAAATACTTTTGTACTGGAACTACACTATAAATAAAAAAATCAAAACCTTTAAACAATCCAGCAAATCGTTTTTTAATATCTTAAAAACGCTTTCGAATGCTTTAAGTGATCATCCTCAGTTATCATTCTGAATCGAACGAACAAGTCGAAATTACGTAAAACATAAATTCAAAAAGCGGTTACATAAATATACGTTAACATTTACCAAGCTTAAATAATTGCAAAAATTATATAGGATAATTAAAACGAAATAAAGAAATAAAATAAAATATATACATCCAATAAAAAATTATCTTAATTAACCTTCCCGCTTACATAAACTACGTCAACTCATCGTAGAAGGATTTCCATGCCAATGATAATCCGTCAGCATCCCTATGATTAATGCAGTTTGTGTGCAACTGTGCCTTGTGAATTTCTACTTTTTCCAGAATTTCTACTTTTTTTTATTTATAGATACTAATTCTTCTAAAACCCTCTGATCATCTATTATTGCTTCTAGAATATGGTTGAATGATAATGATATTGTTGCCTTAAGAGCAAATAAATCAAAACATGTGGTACTTATGAAAAAGGAATCATACTGCATTGCTATAGTGCTATATATCTCAGACACAAAATGCATGATAGCATCTTATGGTTTTCTTGAAAAATAGCTTCCAGGTTTTGAAGATTTCCAATACTCCCCTCACTAATATTTTGAATCTTTCCTCAATGACAGTTATGGCTCCCACACTGCCAGGCATATTTGCATTTGCAAAAACCCATAAGAAGGGTCAACAGTTACATCCTGTAGTGCAGTGTTTTGCAACCTTTTTCTACTTGCGGCACACCCATGACTCAATACAGCACACCAAAATGTTGTTCCCCTCAAAAACGTATGATATGATACTATTAATAGAATTACGTAATGCCACTAACCTATTATTATTATGTTGGGTTTTGTGAGTTATACTAGGTTCACACCGGTGGCTGTGTACTATGCCAGACCAGAGTCAAGGCATAGCAACCAAAACTAAACTAAAATTAAATAAGTGTGTCAGTGTGTGTGTCTGTATTCAGGAATTTCCTAACAATGTGTCATGTATTCAATATAGTGGCCTTCTGTAGTGTGATGTATGTATTTCTATTCAATTGTAATGTTCCCAGGCTTTTATGTAGTGTGTGTAGTATCACACCTGTACAGGAGAGAACAACAGGTACAATAAGCACCCTGTCCATCCTCCACAGAAGCCTTATTTCCTGGACGAGTTCTGTGTACTTGCTAATTTTTTCAGTGCATGTGTTTTGTACATTGTGAGTGTTTGGAATGGCTATGTCTATAATGTATGT